ATCATCTTCATCATGAGGTCTCCCTAGTTTTGTAAAGGAATTGTAATGAATTCTTAAACACACAGGCATTAACGTCACACTCATAACCCACCCAAGGTGGCGTGCAGGCATGTAGAAATCAGATGTGCCTGCTTTGATTCCACATGTTCCTCAGAGTTGTAAAGACAGCAAAACCATAACAACAGTGCCCAGGGCAGGATCCTACCCTGAGAACACTGTAGAGAACACAGCAAATTCTGAGGGGAAGTGAAAGCAAAATTAAAAAGCATTATGAATTGGAAGGTCATGAAAAACCTCCTATGGCTGTCAGTTCCCTTACACTGAGAACAGGGCAAAATGTGATGAAAATGTCATCTGGAGAAAATATACCGGTTTTATAGACAGAGAAAGCCAGAGAGAGGATTATAATTCTAACATATTATAGCTCACTCAAAACTGGAATAATTCTCCCAAGAAAATATTTAGGTAAAGGCATCAGTCCTGAGGGGAAGAAGATCATTCCCAGGAATAATGACAGCTGAACATGTTGACTGCATGCTTTGCCCAAGCAGCAGAGAACCCATCTGATGAGATTCTGCAGAAAGCCCCTACCCTCAAAAACCACCAAGGACAGCAGCAACTCTTGAAGACAGATAAAAACAGAAAATGAAAATTACTGACTATTTGGCTGGAATATGAAAAATACACAGAACACAGCCAATCTAGAGAGACTCTGAAGAATGCATAGGGGACCCTTTAGCATTTATAGGCAAAGTGAAAGAATCGGAAGAACAGCTGTGAACCGACCTGAATGGATCTTAAAATAAGGGTGGCAAACAGCAGTTTCACTTCAGACTCCTACTAAAGCAGACAGTGAGTTGCAATTCAAGTGTGATAACTACATGGGAGGAACAGAGGGTTCAAGCAGAAAACACAGCTCCTACTGCTGGTGTAGTTTTAGTGTGGGAAACAGTCTCAAACCTCTAACAGTTATATATAGTGATATGGCAAAGCCTGTAGAAATGGCAGGAGACCAAAGTTACAGCAACACACAGGCAATTACAGAAAGTTCAACAGAAATTTATGATGGCAAAAAAGGGACTTTCTGACCCTCCAGGTGAGTATTTGCAGGTTAATAGTGTAGAATCTCTAAATGGTTTAATTTGGAGGAAATAAGTGAAGTATTATTATTTTACCCCTTTCTTTATATGTGGAAGAAATAAGACTGAAAATGGAGTTACAGAGTTATTTTGCAACAGGATTATCACAGACTACTTAAAAAGGTGAATTTGAGGAAAACCTCAAGACTTTTAAAGACCCTTACTGTAGAACTGCTGATTTCCCTGGGTGGTAGTAGTGAGAAAATAACTTAAAATGACAAGTAATTCATGCTACTTCTCTCAGCCATGTGGTGATAGGGTCACGCTGCACTCAGTGGAAAACGGCTTGGAGACATTTGGCAGCACTGACAAAGCATGAAGTGTCTGCAGGCTACACAATATTATAACTCCAACCCAAGACAGAAATAAACTAATCTCCTGTACAAGGCAGTAAAGGTATTTCAGGACGGCAGTAAAAGGCAGGAAAGCAGAAATTTTGCTTCGGAGGAGAGTGATCCCTACATGTTACAAGAGCACAAAAAGTGGAGCATATGATTGGGAAACTGTCCCAGTGCTGCTGAAGCCAGAAGAGAGATTACACACCCCAGCTGCTTATCACCCCTTCTTTACCCCTCTCCCATTCCTCCTCTTCTCTTCCCACTATTTTGCCTTTTCCACTGCTCTCTACTTAATTTAGCTCTGTAAAACGAGTTAGATAGGAAAAATTCAAAAAGAATCCTACCATTAATAAAGCATAAAGCAGCACCTCTCTAGAGAGGAAAGAATGGGAAGGCAGGTGATTAAATAGTATGTAAGCACAATCCGCTTCCTTATCCAGATGTATCCATAGCCACCTATTGTGCTATCTACTAGTAATTAAGAATTAGTGGATTATTTTCCAGAACTGGGCTGGGACAGCCAAGTTTTTCTCAGACATCTTAAGTCACTAGAACTAAAAGTTGCAATTTGCTTATAGCTGGAGCAGGGTAGATGACAAATAGGCACATCATCCAAAACACCTGACCAACTCCAGCAATGCACTGAAGTGGGTACTGTCCTTCCAAATTAACTGTAGTGAATGGATCACCTTGTTCAGGGCTGTAAGGAAACAGAATAGGACTGTGTATGTTTAAAGTCATTGAAGGGTTGCTCAGTGTTGCCATGTGGAGTTTACCTAGGATAAAAGAGACACTGGTCTTACTGCCAGGCAGCCTGCATTTCTGCAGGGTCAAAATTGTCATTAGGTGGGGACTGGAAATGGTGATAAGGATTGTGTTAACAGAAGCAAGGAATGAATTCTGCATAATCAGACAGATTTGTTCATTGTTATGCCACCAGGTATCAGTGGTACATTTCAGGTGTAAAACCCTGCAAGGGTGAAATCCTTATTTCTCTATTCCTTTGCTTTTCTTTCTGCTTTTCTCACAATTTAACACTTTGTTTGTAAATCCAGTTTGAGTATGCGGCAGGCAGAGGCATGCACAAGCAACTTCACAGCGTCTCATGGAACAGTTTTTTCACTAACGTGCTCAGAAATGCTGTTACTACTCCGTTACACAAAGGAGACATTCTTTACCCTGAACACCAGTAAATATGGGCTCCTACTAAGCTGGCAGCCAAGCTCAGCAGCCTCTGCTAAAGAATATCATACCATTCTGCATTATTCTTGATGCAGGGCTGACTTCAAGTCTGTTTTTATTTAAATCCAAGATGACTAAGTGTTTACTAAAGCCAGCTGTTGTTCACAAGATAGCTTGGTAATTTTATGATGGTCCTTTACTAGTAAATCAAATGCACAGAGAGGAAGGTAATGACAAGCTAACATATGCATGCTATCTCATAAAACAAACAAAATATTAACAACTTAATAATATCACCAGCGTGATTCCAGACATGCTTGTGACGCCTTTGCTAAGCCCACATGGAAGACAAGCTTCTACGAAGTCTGCTCAACATCACCAAGAGTCTGCCTAAACAAAAATGAATCAGTGAAGGGATTACAAATGGAGCTGCTGTTGGAAAACACAGAGACTCTGCTCGTCCCTCTCCTCTTTGAGTCCTTGTAAGTAGGCTGCCTCTGTTTCCATCATCTTCTACTTCCAGGCCCTTAGTAGCTATAAGTTCTCCACTTGGCACTGCATCCCTGCCATTCTGGCTCCCCTTTGGCCTGCCAGGAGCATGGCCTCCTCCTCTGACCTGCCTCTTCCTCTACACCCACTGGCTCACACAAACTCACTGGCAAATCCCGCACAGTCCCCTCCTTTCTCTTACGTTGAATTTTTAGCAAGGAGAGCCTTGAACCTACTCAGACCTCCAGGAGCTGCCATTTCATTAGCATTCCAGGACTGATTCAGTTTATATTTATAAATAGTTTAGATGAACATGAAATTTCACGGAGACAGATAGAGCTCTACCACAAACTGCAGTGATCACAGCACTACAGAGATGACCTGTGGGTCTCATTACGATGGGTATTTTATGGAAGATGTTTTCATTGATGCTTTGAAAAGTAAAAGAAGCCTTAAACTCAGAGGCTTACGGTACATAATTTTTCTCATCAAAGTAATGGTACAAACCAAGAAAACTTCTTTTTATTGAAACCAGTCCAACCTGATGTTCAAGAAGGGCCTGTAGAAACCACTTTTGTTGTCTCCTTTGGCAGAGCAGCAGCTTTCCCCTTCAGTTAATGATGCTCTGGAAATAAGGCTGAACATTTTATATGTTTACATAGTGGTAGAACAGCCAGTTCAGCTGACAGAGCTTTACACAAGATGCTCCTCTGCTGCTACTCAGGGCTGACTTCTGTTTTTATAGTTGCCTACAACGGCTCAAATGATTCTGGTCTACCTGAGAAGTGGGCTGATTAAGAGCAGCCAAGCTGAAAAGCACCAGGCTTGATGACCTGAGCAGTCTAAGTAATATTGGGTGCTTCTTTGTTCAAGAAATGCCATTTCCAATAATACCTTCAAATGATGTTTTCCTAATCAAAAACTTTAGAAAAACAAACTCAACAATTATTCTTTAAATTAATCAAAGAGTAAAGCCTGTTTGTGACTTCTTTTTTGGGGGCGGGGGGAAAGGGGGGCAAAGCAAAGTGGAAGAAAATATGAAAGACAACTTTTTTGGCTCACTGTAGGTTAATAAAACATTAACGTACTTTGTCAGAAGAAATCCCTTAAATTTCAAATGCTATCTGGCTTCTTTACAAAACAAAGGATAGTCAAGCTGCCTTATAAGGGCCTATTATAATCAATAGCACCTTTCAAGGGATTTTTGTGGATTTTTAATCTGACCTGTGAAGAATATGATGAAATTTCTGTTATGGTGACACAGGCATTCCTCCCCTGAGGAAGTTTACACAAGCTGCAGCTCCAGTTACGGTAACCCTACCTCAGATCCTAGTTTAGAAGTCCTCCCCTCCCCACTAATGGCCACAGAAATACCAGATCAGAACAGCACACTTAAGATGTTCTTTGAAATAAACAACATTCATATGTACATACCCTGACCCAAGAAGGATTTTTAGTAGGTTCACAATGCTCTAGACCCCACTGCAAATAACATGCTGCAACTTGAGTCCCCCAGATAATTATAAATCCAGAGAGGATTATAGTAAAATGTATGGTGAGAACCCCAGCCTCCTGAGCTGTGTGTCAATCTTTGTTACCCATGTCAGTGACCCATAGTTATGTTTGACAACTCTAAAGAATTAATTAGAAAAAAATGAAAGTATTTATCACCCAGCAGATTTTCTATCTTTTCCAGTGAAACTTCCACAGTTTTTTCCAATACTTTTCATTTTTAGAGGTTATTGGTTGTTTCCTCTTATGTGTTAGTGAAACAAAAAAGCTAAGTGCATAGCAGAACATATCTTTAGCTTGCAATAATTCCTAACAGGATGAAACACAAACCTGGGCTCACCTTTTCACTTTTCTTCTTGAGCAGGGCATCAGCTGTCGTCTCTGAGAAAATGTGCATTCTAAAAACATGTCCAGCTCCTTTTGTATAATCACCTGCCTTGCAGAGTTTACGTTTTTGAACATGGTGTTTTACACTCGAATTACGAATTACTAATGTTTTAACCTTCTCCACCAGAGGCCCTACAAGCTTCTGTAATCCAGAAACACTTTGCTCCAGTCCATCTAGTCTTTTAACCTGCTGCTCTGCATTCCTGTTCATATCAGAAAGAGATTTTTTCATTTTAAGGCAAAGCCTCTTCATGTCATTACTTCTCAGACTTTTGTTTCTTTCCATCCTTGATTCAGGTTCAGTTGTTTCCGCCTTTACAATCTCAATGTCTTTTTCAATGCAACAGATTTCTTGGGAAACGCTGTTAAGCTTCTTAAGAACACTGTCTTGCAGAATCAACAGCTTATCTATTTTCTGTTCGAGGGAGGCAAACTTCATATCCATGATGTTAAAACTTTCAGATGTGCTGACATCACTGCTTTCAACATGAAGAATCTGGGGGGGTTCCGTTCCATTATCAGGCCCTTGGGTTTGCAAAGCATTTGGATCGAATATTTTGGCCAAGTTGTTGACCATAGACGTAGAAGAGCTCTGCCTGCTGGATGTGCTCATTTTGCTGGATTGGATAGGGGAAGGAAATGCTCTGATGATCAGCTGCTTGAGGACAATATCAGTTGCAAAGGCTTCTCATCCAGGCTGCTCAGATATACAGCCAAGTTTGGCAACTCCAGGTAAACCAATTTATAAACTACTCTCATATATTTGACTAAAACAGAGGAAAAAGACACCCAAATTATTTAGGAAGAAAAATGCCTTTGATCCTTTTTTTTTCCTCATATATGTATCTATATATAATTTTAAATATATATATGCCAGTTTCCAAATAAAGTGAATATAGAAATGCATATCCTAAATGCACTCAGTTCAGTGACGTCAGCCCTAGCAGGGACTGAACTATTTGCACTGCAATGGAATTTGATAGCAAAAAGGCTACACGATACATGAGAAGTCTCTAAGGGTAGATGCTTTGGCAGTGGTGTTGTTGGTTTTCAAAAGTAGTATGAGTACGTAATGTGATCCCTGCTCTGAAGAGAATAAGGGTCCTTACAAGGACCTTAAATGCAACTGCTTGAAATTACTATGTCTTAAGGTGAGCTTTTCAGATGAAGACCTTTGTTGCTGGAAAAGCCTCATGTCAAGGAACAAGTCAATAGAGTTGTTAAAAAATGAATACAGTAAAGAAAGTAAAAGAATGAAGATATTTGAAAAACTCAGAGCCCCTTTCTCTACCCTGTATTTCAGTGACCACACAGCTAGCTTTTCATACACTAGCAATTCTCTTCATAGCATGTATCTTAATTTATTTCTGTATTTATTGAGACTGAACTAATTTGCCACAAATGAAGCTCTATGTTTTACTATTATCTGTATATATCTGGTCATACAAATTCACAAATACAAAGTTTGATAGAGAGTTCAGTTCTTTGCTTTGTTTGCCTGCCAGTAAACATCTCAAAGCCAGTGATTAGTATTCATCACTCAGACAGTTGGTTTAAGCTTTGCTTTTGCAAAAGACCTTCATTTCTCTCAAAAAAACAACATTGGACAAAGAAGAAATGTCATGACTGGGAACAGGATTCTCTAAGGCATAAGTATGAGCTGTTGAACATTTTTCATTTGGTTAGAAAAATAAAAACAGAATTACAGAAAGAATAAAACCAGAACTTCTCATCTCAAGTCAACTACGCTCTACAAATGAACAAAAAGTAAACTGGTATGGATCATCTTGTGAAGAAATACAAAGAAAAGGCTGCCTTAGACAAATGACAGTCATAGATTGACCGACCACACATAGGTCAACCTGCACTTGCGCTGTACTTCTTACAGAAATCAACATGTAGTCAGCCAGCTGGTTGGAAAACAGCCAGACTACTACTCTACTGAAAGGATCATGAGCTTCTTTTGTGATCCCAGTATATTACTTCTTTTGCCAACCTCAGTTTCTCCATCCTTTAAATGCGGAGCATGAGGGATAATTAAATAAAGCACATAGTGAGTTCTGAATATTTAACACACAAAATAACCTTTCAAAATTTCATCTGTTCACTAAATGAAGGATATGAAAGGTCTTCTCTTTATTTTTAGGTGCCAAAGATGTCTTTTGGAGTCAATCACATCTGAAGTTTTCAAGTTTCCGAAAGCATTCTCCCACAGTCATTTATGGCTCAGCATGTGACCAGTGTTGATAAGGTAATTCAGGAGGTTGCTCTCCAGTTACCACAAGTTAATATAGGAAAAAGGTTCCTAGGTACATTTGTCACCTTATGAGAGCAGCATGTTACTCTGAGTGAAAGGTGAACATGCATAACCATAAAACATGGACTGAAATCTGTTCTTTATATAACAGACATTACCAAGAGTGATCATCATGTGTTATTGTGCACAGCATATTCACTGAGTGGATTGAAGGTTAAATGATTTTTAAATAGGAAATAAGATTGGGTGTTGGGGGGGGAAATTAAAAATGGGGATTTTAGGGATCCCTATTTCATGGGTAGAATAATATACAAGACAGCAGTTAAAAAAAAAAGAAAAGAATCCCAAAGCAAAGATCATCATGACAGTTCTAGCAGAGAGCAGTTATGTTTGAATGCATTTGCCTTCTTCTGTTCATCTCTGTCAGAAGCATAAACTAAACCCTCCTGACAGTTTCACATCTGCAGAAGCCCCCGTTAGACATAAATTTCCAGGAGAGGTGTTTGCATGTCTGTAAAACAGCCAGATTTGAACAACCATTTATTTTTGATGAAACACCCCTGTAGGAGTTCACAGTGAGCTTTCCCCCTCTTCCTCACACTCCTTACACAAAAAAAGTGGTTAGCTAGACCTTGCCACCCATCCAGATAGGATTCTTGCTCCGAGGATTTTCATAGGTGAAACCTGTCAGCCACAAGGATTCTTTCCATAAGGAACACTATTTTGTAAAAATGAGAAATAGGGAGGAATGTGACAGGACCTACAGATAGCAGTGGTAAAATCATGTGTTATATTAGTGAACAGTCACATATGTTAAACATTTAGATCTCTCCTAACAGTTGTCTAGGGAAACATTATGTGAAATACCTCAAACCAATACTATAAACACTAATAAAAATTTTAAGCTCTGTGAGTTAAGATCCTATTATCAAGTATCATCTGTAAAGTCCTACTGATTTAGTATTACGCCACGATACACAAAAATGCCAGACACTTTTAAAATGTAGAAAGCAAACTAAAAATGATTCATTAAAAACTCATCAGTATGTATTAGTAGTTCTGTCTGAAGCTGAAGTGAACTGGAAGAAAGAACTGCTGGTTAGGGGCTAGAAAAGAAGAATAAATGAAAGAAAGTTAACATCAGCTTTTTGTCTGGGCTCAGAAAGCTCTTGCCAGTAACTTCTTCACAGCTGGGAATCTGTGAATCCTGCCTCCTGCTCTGGAAACTGGAAATAATCTTTCATATTCAGATAACTTTCAAAAGTTCAGTAAGAATGAATTAAGGGATAGTATTCCGCAAAAAATAGTATTATTTTAAGTATTGAACATTTATTTCTTTGGGCAGTGGATTATTACCACAGCCACTTTATGAAGTTGAATAATATTATATGCAAATAATTTGAAATATTTTTAATAACCAAATACCTGGACAGATTTTTTTCTAATAACTGAATCTTATAGCAACTGTAACTATCATTAATGAAAAAAATAAGCCCATATAACAACTTTCTTATTTTCAACTCACAGATCCCTATCATGATCATTGGATTTGCCCAGCACCAAAACTGCTAAAAAGTCTGTTGAAAAATAAGGGTAAAGCTGCAGCAGTAGTTAACCTTCATGAATTGAAAACAAAGAAACACAACCGACCAAAATACTGTAAAAATTCCCCATATGCCTAGCACTGCTAAGTATTACACTTTGGAATATTAACACAAGACCACTCCACCATAGCAGTGACAATACCAGCCCAAAGGCTGACATTTTTGTACAAAGGTTTAACTTGCACTATACAGTATAGTGTTACTCAACTGTGAAATTGGATGGCATTTAATTACCTGCTGAAAGAGTTTTATTTCTTCCATACAATTGCTGCTTTTTTGCTGCTGAATTCTTTTAAGAACTACTGGTTTATATTTTAATGACTTAAGATCATCCTTATATACCACTCATTCAGTTTTCTGCTGACTTTTCACTTATTTTTATTCCTTTCAGTGTCTATTTTGTGCCTTATATATCCCTGCCCCATATACCTGCAACTTCCATGTTCCTCTTCCTTCCTTAAAAAATAATCCTCTCCAGCGATCTTGACCATCTTCTTGTCTTCAGTACTTATCCTATGGTTCATCTGTATTCATCCCCTTAATGAAAACTCCACCATAAACTAAGAAATGGCAGGGAATATAGCCTACTTTTATGAAGTTCTAGTTCAAATTCGTAATTCTAATACTGCATTTTTCACAAATAAGCAGAAATAAACCCCACATTTTTCTGAAAATTTGATCAAGAGAGATGCAGATTTTGCTCTCAGATGAGCCATAGAGAAGCACATTTTGTGGCCAGACTGGCCATAAGACCCAGAAGAAAAGTTCCAATAATATCTTTTATATCTGAATGATCAATTATGCTTTACAGATAAATCATGTCTTTATATATTTCCCCATTGTGATAATGTTCATACACTGTAGACATCCCTAGCAAAGGCTGTCCCCTTTAATCATTTACAGGTAAGCTGTTTTTAGGAAGACCTTTATATCATTTACAGAATATTTCCATACACATCTCAGTAAGATTCAAATCTCAATAAACCTCAAACAAGAAACAGTTTTAGACTTGGAGAACAGGAAAGCCACTATCTAAAATAGTCTAGGATTGTTATATGCTAGTCACAGAGCAGAGAAATTACTGTACATAGTTGTGCACAAGTGAAAGTTAAAGCATGTCTGCTCTTTCTCTAGTACAAAACAACAGCTCCCTAAGAAACAATACAAGCTTACAGCTGCTCTGTTCTGAAACAGATTAGAAAGCAAGCATGAAAGCTATGAACCAGATTCAGAAAGTCATGCTGTTTACTGAAAGTTCACAGATGTCCATGATGGTAAAACAGATAAAACCGTTCTCTTCCCTCTCCTCTCATCCCTCCCACCCTTTCCAACCAAAAAGCATCAACATGGATCAGGGAATTTATCCAGAATGATGCATTTCTACAATCAGCAGTCATGTTGGACTGTCACTGTGGGGGCTGAAATAACTGTATGCCTAAGATTAAGTAACACACTGTGTCATAAGTGATACAACTTTATGGCACCCCTGGGGTCTGCCCAAAACACTAGTCTGGAACTCTGCTTAAGGTCAGAAAAGGAAACAGCTTTACACAGGACAGGAACATACAGCAAGAAAAGTCTGGCACCGAACTTCATGAGGTAGGACTAGGGAATTTATTGCTCCACAGGGCTCTCTGCATGCAACTACTCTACGACCTGTTAATTAATTATGAATTCTGACTTCCTTTACTATAATGTCCCTGGTAGCCAAGTGTCCTGGAGATACCCTAGTGATAAATGATGAGAGCAAGTCCCTGAAACAAACTGCAGAGAGATCCCAGTTACAGTTCAGCAATCAATCTGCAGATGCCATGTACTGACCTTTTAGATATATTGTCCCCTTCAAATTTTCAGCCTCTCTGCAAGCATTCATATGACCACTTTTTTCAGGAAAAAAATAAAAGTTAATTTATCTGTATATGTCTCTGTAGAAATTATCTAGATCTTTGAAGATGAAAATCACAGTGGAAAACACCACCTATGTTCTGGGGGCTAATACTCCTTGTACTCTGGAGCTCTGCAGATCTCTTTCATGTGGAAAAGAATTTGCACAGGAGAGGTAATGCCCTGCAAGCTGCATGGTGCAGCATTTATCTAGGCCAAGCACAACTCACTCACACATGGCTTCCCACTATTAACGGGTTTCTTTGGGTGAAAAAGAACTGCACAGCCACCATAGTCAGCATCAGTCTGCTTAACAGCTGAAGTTCAAAGCACTTCACCATCAAAGTACACAATGTTCTTTCACTGTGGGTTGGTCCG